AGAGCGCCGGGGCTCGTGTGTCGATCGCGCCCTGGCATTCCACACACGCCCACCCCTTAGATCCGACGCCGTAGAAAAACTGATGAAGCATCGTGAGCAATCACGACCGGAGACCTGGACCCCATCTTGCTGCGGCATTCCTCGAGCCAGATCGTGGTTAATTGTGGACGCTTCGCGTAACCCCACTAGTCGCGCGTGGCTCGGTAGTTAATTAGGCAGGACCGTGCCCAGGACCTCCCTCTCGGCGACTTGCTTGACGCGTCTGCGCGCTGACCAAAAAAAAGTAACCCCACCAGTCGCGGCCCGTGTAACTCCTCTGACGCTGTTGGCGCGCTCACCTCCAGCTGCGGAAAAAAAGTAACCCCACCAGCCCATCCAGAAACGATGCCCAGACGAGTGGCCCTGATCAGAGATGTGCAGCAGAACGCAGTGGAAAAAAGGGTTGGGTAAAACGTTGTACCCCAAGAGGGGGAGGATGGAGGAGGAATCGGACGAGGAGCAAGACGAGGAGGAGGAGGAGGAGGAGGAGGAGGAGGAGGTGGAGGAGGCGGAAGAGGAGGAGGAGGAGGACGAGGGAGAGTGGGAGGGAGAGTGGGAGGGAGGAACAGGCGGATGAGGAAGAGGAGGAGGAGGAGGAGGACGAGGAGGAGGAGCAGAAGGGCCAGAGACCTCTTGGATGCCTCTCGGAGTCTCTTCGGATTTCGTTCGAAAGTTCATTGGGGTCCTCTTGTGGCGTCTCGGGGCGTCTCTTGGCAGTTCCGGAGGCCTCTTTGGGCGTTTTGGGTGCCTCTGGGGGGCCTCTTGGAGCCTTCTCTTGGGGGCCTCTTGGGGGCACCTCGGGGGTCTCTTGGGGGCCTCTTGTGGGCATCTTGGGGGTCTCGTGGGGGCCTCTTTGGGCCTCCTGGGTACCTCTTGGGCCGTCTTGGGGCACCCTCGGGAGCCTCAGGTGCCATCTTTGGCTCATCTTGAAGGAGACCGACCAAAGGAGGGGGGCTCCTTACTTAGGATCCCCTGGGGAGGCCAAAATATTGCCAAAAGCGAATTGAAATCAGCGATGTTGGCTTTCTCGCCGAGGCCTCTTGGGGCGTTTTGGGTGCCTCTGGGGGGCCTCCTTGGGTCTCCTGGAGGCCTCTTGGGGGCCTCTGGGGGGGCCTCTTTAGGGCGTCTCGGGGGTCTCTTGGGAGCCTCTCGCTTGGGGGCATCTTGGGGAACTCTTGGGGCCTCCTGGACACCTCTTGGGGCCATCTCGGGGCACCCTTGGGAGTCTTGGGGGCCATCTTCGGGCCATCCTGAAGGAGGTCGATCAAAAGAGGTGATCTACCCCATCAGGACCCCCCCCAGGAGGCCAACATGTGGCCAACATCTTCGTAAAATCAAAAAAGTTGGCTTCCGCGCCGAGGCCATCTTGGACGCTCCAACGTCTCGCGAACCCCCCCATCCAAACCAGGGGGAGGGGGTATGGGGGAGGGGTCAAGCTATCCTCCTAGATAGCATGCCATCTAGCTCACTCCCACCCGCCCTCCCAACACATAAGTAACACCCGAGAGTCAGCAGATCGCCCAGGAACGCCACACATGCCATGTGCGCCACGGGTTCCAGGTGTGCACCAGGCACCCTGGAGGAGCCCAAGCGTGCCAGGTGCGGCAAGCGCTCCACAGCGCGCCAACTGTGCAACGTGCTCCAGCCGCGCCAGGTGCGCCAGCTACGGGGAACCAACAGGGACCCCCAGGTGCCTGGGGCCTTGGCCCGAAGGAGTTCAGGATCTTGAAGACCCCTGCAGCGAAGTGCCGAGCATTATGTGAGAAGGTCGGCTGCACCAGGGAGCGAAAAGCACCGACACCGATGGACAAATTGTGACATTCTGAGAGCAGTCGTGAAACAGATGATAACTCAGAGAAATGTGGGCCCTGCGCATGCTCCCGATTTCGAGCCAAAGTGTATTTTGTATTGATGGATAGGAATGATTGGCCTGCGCACAGCAAGAACTATGCGGCACCCCCGCCGTCCCTGTCAAACAAACCGTGCAAAGTGGTCGCGGGGGGCCCCGCGCATGCTCCAAATTTGGAGACAAAGTGCATTTTGTATTGTTGTTTACCAGGGATGGTTGGGGGTGTTCTCATTGGTCCGTGTTGGCTGCCTGTCGCCTGGAGGAGGGGGTGTTTATTGATAGGGAACAGTGCTAAAGCCCTCCCCGAAGGGGAAGAAGGGGGGCTGGAAGAGGAAACTCGCCAAACCACTCACGCCCTAAAGCGCTGGTGGGATTCGTATCAGGGTTAATTCGTATCGCCCTGTTCTCCACTTCTGGCCTCCCGCGCTGTGCAGAGTGACGCGTGGCTCTTCGGTCTGGTGGTTGCGCCCTTCTCAGAACAGAGCAAACTCGAGCGGGATCGATCTGCGAAGACCCCATGTGCCCGAGAGTCGAGATGCGATGCCAGGATCACGAGCGTCGGCCCACGCCCCCGCAGTCGAGCGAAGACGACCCACGACGCCGGACGGACCGGGCGTGGCAGCCTGGGCTCCAGAGACCGCCGAGCGCCCCATCCAGAGATCCATAGTCTCCTGCTTCGGAGGGAGGAGGGGCGACACCAACACCACCAGGGGGTCCACTTCCAGCGAGGAGGTCCACGATGCCTCCCCGAGCTGGAGGCTGGGGATGTCTCGAGCGAGGGGGGGGCCAAACCACCAGAGAGACCCCCCTTGCCTCCTCGCATCTCCTCGCCCTGGTGGTGCTGGTGTCGCCTTTCATTGTTCCCATGGGTGTTTCCCAAACGGGGTCCCCAGAGCTATGGGCCCACTCTCCGGGGACCGCGGCGTTCCACCCCGTGCTGTCTTTTGGGGGCAACGAGGCCTGGTGAGGGCCCCTGGAGGCCGGAAACGGCCAAAAGCCTACCGCCGTCATGTTTTCGACGACACGTAAGAGTGACCCGTCGTTGGAGTCACCTCTGGTGCGGGCTCATCGGGATCCCCCCGATCGTTGAGCTCGATGCGATAGCGGCCGCTTGCGCGCTTGGATTTAGCCACATTGCGCCCCCTTCGTCCGCGCACGAAAAGTCACTTTTGCCTAGGGCCATTCTTGCATGTACAGTCGATCATCTGACTCAGAAACCTCCCCCCCCGAAAAGCTGGTCCAGCATTTTCTGAACCAAGTTGCCAGAAAGCTGGCCCAGCTTCGCGAGCACCAGCGTTCACAGCAGATGCTGGCCCAGGCTCTTTTGTTTCTCCGAGCGTTCCTGGGATTCCTGGCCCAGGTTGTTCTTAGATGGTAGTTTTCTTGATCCTATTATCGGCTGTAGCCGATGCCTGAACGACGACAGCAGGCGGGGGGTCGGCGGGGGGTGGGGCCGGTAGTAAACCATGGGAGCCTTGTGTACCCTCGTAATGATGTCTTCAGCGTCGATTGGCGTGTGGGAGTCGATGACACCGCGCCGATTTAGCGTCGATTAGCGTCGATGTAGCGTCGATGAGCGTCGATTTAGCGTCGACGAGCGTCGATTCGCAAGAACCGACAAGATGGTATGGGAGGCCCCCAGGAGTTGCCCATGAGCTCACACGAACTGCCACCGGAGGCTTTCTTTGGATCACGATTTTCTTGATCCTACGGTAGAGGTAAATAGTAAGTGAACACCCCACCTGCCCCCAAACTCAAAGTTGGCACGCGCGGGGGAGATTGCGGTCGAGGTGCAACTCATCAGACCCACCGCCAACTTTGAACAACTGGGGGGAGGGGGAGGCGTTCACAGATGAACGTGGCATGAGTGTTCGCTATTTTTGTTCCGAGGCCTTCATGTTCGGCTGTGGCCCGTGCCTCCACGACGACGGCAGGTGGGAGATGCGGGGTGCGCGCGGGGGGCGCCGAGCGCCCCCGGGCGAGCTCTCTCCGCGCAGGAGGCCGCGGACGCCAGCGCGCGCCGCCCCCGGGCGCGCGCCGCCCGCGGGCGCGCCGCCCCGTGCCGCCGACCCCTGGGCGGTGCTGGGGCTCGGCCCCGAGGCCGCCGGGGGAGGGGGGAGGAGTTCTATGGAGGCCTCCCAGATGGGGTCGGAGTACAGATGGGGTCGGAGTAGATGGGGTCGGAGTAGATGGGGCCGGAGTATAGATGAGGTCGGAGGATCGCGCCGCATCGCCGATGCATTCACGATGCGGAGCCCGAGTTTCTTCACGCCGGATTCGCCGAGGTATCGCCCACGTCGGCGATGCATGGCCGGTGCATCACCGATGCTTCGCCGATGCATGGCCGATGCATTGGCGATGCGGCGCCATCCTCCGAACCCATCTACTCCGACCCCATCTAGGAGGCCTGTAATAATAAAAACGAGCCAAAGCATGCTCAGAAATAGCCAAACAAAGTCCAAGCAGGTCCCCAGACGATGTGGTGACTTTTCTTGGATATTCCTCCCGCAGAGGGACACGCCCGACTTCAGCCAACCCCCTGGGGGAGGCACCCAGGCCGCGGCGGGGACGCCGCGGAGGGCTCGCTCCGGTCCGAGCCCTCCGGTGGGAAATTCGGGTCGAGGGCGGGGGCTTCCGGTGCCGATCCGCTGCGGCTTGGGCTGGGGCTCGGCCGCGTGGCCAGAGAGGCACGAAGGCCGCGGCTGGGACGCCGAGGCCTTGGCCAGTGCATGCTCGCTCCGAGTCCTCCGGTGCGCTTCGAGTCTAGGGCGGTGGCTTGCAGTGCCGATGCGCTTCGGCATCGGGTTCTCCGATGCGGGCTCCGGTCTGGCCTGCCGACTTCGGCCGATTCGACTTCTTCCCACGTGGCTGCCGATTTCCACAGACCCGATGCATTTCGATCGCCGATCCGCCCTATCGCTTCGACTCTGGGCTCGCCCGCTGGTCGGCGCCGATCTTTGCCATGGTCCACGTCGGCCGTCGCCGATCCGCCAGCATGGTCCACGGATGGACGGTGACCGAGCCGGACGGTGGACAAGATCGGCACCGGCATTTCCGCATTTCCGCGCGCAGTCGTGGTCAGGGTGTCCTCGTTTTCCTTCCCATCCGCGAGGGCGGGGCCTCCGGTGGCCGCCCCAGCCCCGGGCAGATACGGCGGGCGTTCCGCCTGGCCGCGAAGGACCCGGCGGGGGGGGGGGCGTCGTCAGGAAGCGGTCTGGGACGGGAGCTCGGGGCTCCCTGAGAGCGGACAGCGATGAGCTGGGACAGTGGACCGCTGTCCTGGCTCCTCGATGTCCCCTCTCGGGGGAAGCAGTGGGCGCCTCGGGAAGCTGCGGCAAGCTGGCGGAGGCATCCTCCCTCCTCCCCTCTGCCTCTGGGCGGCGTGCTCGGCCTCCTGGTCAGCGCACCAGGTGCGCCCCAGGAGGCTGCAGCAAGTGGGCGCCTCCCGCCGCGCAGGCTCCTCCTCCTCCTCCTCCTCCTCCTCCTCCTCCTCCTCCTCCTCCTCCTCCTCCTCCTGCTCCTCCTCCCCCTCCTCCTCCTCCTCCTCCCTCCTCCTCCTCCCCTCCTCCTCCTCCTCCTCCTCCTCCTCCTCCTCCCTCCTCCTCCTCCTCCTCCTCCTCCTCCTCCTCCTCCTCCTCCTCCCCCCTCTTCCTCCTCCTCCTCCTCCTCCTCCTCCCCTCCCCCTCCTCCCTCCTCCCTCCCTCCCTCCCTCCCTCCCTCCCTCCCTCCCTCCCTCCCTCCTCCCTCCGGGTGCAGTGCTCCGAGCCCCTGGCCTGCAGCGTCTTGGTGCCGGGGGGGCGGGCGCGGGCGCCTGGCCGGTCCCCGGAGAGGCCTCGGGCCCTCCCTCCGGTGGCATCGGGTTTGGGGAGGAAAGTTGCCTCCTCCTCCTCCTCCCTCCTCCTCCTCCTCCCCCTCCTCCTCCTCCTCCTCCTCCTCCTCCTCCTCCTCCTCCTCCTCCATTGCTTCCCGACGGCGCCGAAGCACGAAGGCCGCAGCGAGGCACTCAATGGAGAGGAGGAGGAGGAGGAGGAGGAGGAGGAACATGTGTACATACATGTATATATATATATGTGCATACATATATGTATACATGTGTATGTATATATATATATACAAGACTGCGTTGGCGCTTCGCGCCACACACCTTGTCCTCGAAGTTTGGCATGCAGGCAGAAATCGCGGCGGAAGGGCAGGAAGGTAAAGCATACAAACGGCGATAACTTCTCGTTGTCTTATTCGATTCGTCCTCATGAGAATGCACTTCGTTATGCTTCCCTGATGTGTCCTCTTCCCCTTCTTCGTTCTAAGGTCCACGAGGGAAGTGGTGACCGCCCCTGGTGATAATCCCCCTTGGCATTGCCCGATCCTCCTACTCCCTCCTCCACCACCTCCTCCTCCTCCTCCTCCTCCTCCTCCTCCTCCCCCTCCTCCTCATCCTCCTCCTCCTCATGCTCCTCATCCTCCTCGAGGCCTCACCTTATCCACGGCGCAAGCCCCACCACCACTCCTCCTCATCGTCGCCATCATCAGCCTCCTCCTCCTCCTCATCATCATCATCAGCAGCATCAGCAGCATCAGCATCATCATCACATCCCCCTCCTCCTCCTCCTCCTCTCCTCCTCCTCCTCCTCCTCCTCCTCCTCCTCCTCCTCCTCCTCTTCCTACCCAAATGCCAGGAGGGAACGTCGCGAAACTAGGATTCGGAAATTTGGTGGAAATGCTGGACGAGGGCGCCAATGCGGGGTCGTACGTCAAAGGCCTCTTCGATGTGTTTGGGTCTGTGGGGAGGCGTCTCGGGGTCGTCGCGGAAACAATGTTGCTGGTTTGGGAGATAATTTGGAACCCCCTTTGGTTTATTTTCGGTATTATTGGGAGATACATCAGACGAGCAGCAAAGCCCAGACCAGGCGGGTTTCAGACCCAAGAGAGGAACAACCGACCATTTGTTCACAGCGACGATCTTGCACGAGATCACAGACGAGTGGCAGGTCCCGCTCTGGATCGCAGCCATTGATTTCAAGAAGGCTTTTGACACCGTGACGCACGCGAGCATATGGGAATCTCTTACAGAACAGCAAGTTCCGGCTCCGTACATCACTTTGCTCCAGAAGCTGTACAGCCAACAAACAGGAGCCATCCACACCGACCGTCGCAGCAAAAACTTCGACATCGAGAGGGGCACGAAACAGGGCGACCCACTCAGCTCACTGCTTTTTAATTCTGTTTCCGAACATGTTATGCGGGTGGTGAAGAAGAAGTGGGCAGCACGGGGATTTGGAGTCAAATTGCACGCCCATGGTGGCGAGCTCTTGAATAACTTACGTTTCGCCGACGACATCCTCCTAATCGCGCACTCCAGCAGCGACATTGCAACTATGCTATCCGACCTCAGCACAGAAGCGGCGAAGACAGGCCTCCACCTTCATCCAGACAAGGCCAAATTTCTGCACAATGGACACCGGCACAAACGAACGATACAACCACCGAGCCACGTATTAGTGCACGACATGAAGATCGAAGTGTTGCCGCCATACCGCTCCACCAAGTACCTCGGCCGAAAGCTGCAATTCAGCGAGTACCACAAGACCGAAGTGGAAAACCGAATTTCTGGAGCGTGGAGAAAGTTCCATTTACTCAAACAGGAGCTTACGGGAAGAAGCTATTCTATAAATAACCGAATTCGGCTTTTCCAGGGAACAATTACGCCGACAATGCTGTATGGATGTGAGACATGGACGGTTACTCAGGAGTTGGAAAAAAAAATTCGCAGAACGCAGAGACAGATGCTTCGCATGATCATCAGAACGCCTCGAAGAAAGAAGCTGGAGTCATCAGAAGCAGATCCCCGACGCAATCCCGATGGCGACAACGACGGCGACTACCCGGAAAACGACGATTCTTCAATTACCACAGGCAGCGGAGGGGATGTTCACAGCGGTCAACCACTTCCAGCCGCGGATGCTGACCAATTCCAGGAAGAAGATACCCTTGAGCCTTGGCCGGATTGGATCCGCCGTGCAACGCAACACGCCGAACATAGTATTTCAAATTTGGGGGTCGCAGATTGGATTACCACAGTCAAAAAGCGTAAATGGAAATGGTTGCAAGAAATGTGTACTAACAGTACGAAGGAATGGGCACAGCGAGTGTTACAATGGGAGCCACAAAATGATGCACACATACATACACAACGCCGTGTTGGACGGCAAAAGACCAGGTGGTGGGACGACATACTATCCTACATTAAACGGTGTGTCGAAGACGCGCCACAACATGTTGCAGGGTTACTACGACTAGCGGGGACGGACACATGGGACAATTTGGAGTCTGGGTACACACAACAGTGAGTGTCCATGGTTACGCGGCTAATACTCTAGTGCCGTCATCGCCGTCAGCCTCCTCCTCCCCCTCTTTGTCCTCCTTCCAGACAATGTGATGTATCGAATCTTGTTGTTGCCGCATTGTTTCACCAATAGCGGCGCCCCGGCGCCACCCTGCAGTGCCCCCGCGGCGCCTTGACTGCAGGCCGCTTGTCCGCTTGTCCGCTTGTCGGTATTATTGGGGAACTCGTGAACCCTGGTTGGGGCGTTTGGGCGCGTGTTGGCAGTTTCATGGGTCCTTTAGGGCCGGGGGGCTCGCGCCTGGTGGCGGTCTGAAGGTCCGTTTTGGGGCCTTCTTCGGGGATCGTGGGGGCATCTTCGCCCGTCTTGGAGCCTTCTCGGGCCGTCATGGGTTGTCCTGTGGCGATGTTGGGGGCCTTTTGGGCCTTCCTGGGGCGTCGGTAGCACGAACAAAAAAGTAATGCCAACATGCTGCAAAAACTAATAAGAAACGCACAGGTTTTGGAATTGGAGGCCCACTTGGGGGTGCCTCTTGGAGCTCTTTGGGGCGTTTTGAAAGTCTCTTGGGCCATCAGGAGGCCATGTTGGACCCTCTTGGGGATACCACCAGCTCGTTTGCACGACTTGGCAGGGACTCCCAGAAGCCCGGAGGTCTCATGGGACCCTCGGCAGGGGCGTCCAGGAGCCCCAGAAGCCAGGGATTCCGGAAGGTCTTCATAGTGGCACAATATTTGATCGAGTTGATTCGGGGTTGTGAACACCATGCCGCTTTTCAACCACATAAATATGGAAGAGAAGGTCGAGCATCAGTTGGCACTGCAGTAATGGTGGCACACTGGTAGTAATCCAAAACATTCGCTGCGGGTAGTTGCAGGTTTCTGCGATCGTCTCCCCTTGCTCTGCGTGCCCCACTGCTAAGAGTCGAGAGGGGAATAGAAGGGGGTGAGGTCCTCCCTGGGAGTAGCCCGACCGCCTCGGGCAGTCGAGTTTGGGCAGCTTGGAAAAGATGCGCTGTCCAAAGAACAGACTATGTTGCTCGGCTTGCGCTGCTCTGGAGTACTCGGCAAGGCTTCCGCTGACAGCCTTGCGCGGGCGTCTGACAGACTTGTCTCTGTGAGAGCAGCGCGCCCCGCGCGGGAGGCTAGAAAGAGATTTGCGAAACAGGGGCCTCGAGCTCGCATTGGTCGGACCATACAAGATACAAGTTGCGGCTGGTATCGTGCCCGCCTAGGGTGCGCAGATGGGCAGTCTCTAGCAAGAACTAGCCAAAGGGGTCCAGGGGGTCAGGGGGGAGCACCCCTTGGGGGTAGCGGAACGCGCCAGCCGCTCCAAGCATGCAACACGCATAGATGAAAGTGAGACTCGATCTGCACAGCGCGTTGCCCAGCTCAAGCGATTTCCATTCGGACCTGGAGCTAGTTGGGACCCCCCACAGGTTACTGATGGGTCTAACAAGGCGGGGCCTCTTTGCTGTCTCAGAAGAGCAACGTCGCGCTGCGGACCACGTCGCGCATGGCTGGCCCGCGAACACACCGATCACATGCCCGGCCCATCCTTGACGAGGTCCAAGAATAAACGCACCGCCTGTGAATTATACATCAGTCTTTGATCTCATCGCTGGCTATTGGCAGGCTGAGCATGACCAGGGGTTTTATTGGCGGCCGACATCAGGAGGTGGGGTTGGACATCCCCCAGGCGGCACGGGCCACCAAGCCAGTGCAGGACGCAAACGACCGTGCGACGCAGTCTGGGGATCTCGGAGTGGGGCGGGTGGAAGGGGATCTGCTATACGTTGTACGCCACGACCAGGGCTGGGATACGCACGGGGGCCCAGAGCCCAGAGATGGCCAGCTGGCGGCGGCAGAGCAGGGCCCTAGACTTCAAGCGGGCGGGTCTCGGCGGATGCTGGGCCAAGCCGAATGGCGCTGAGGGCGACGGCCTACGCGTGGTCCTGCTGCCCGAGGGCCTCAGCTTCTTCCGGTGGTTAAAGCCGACCCAGTTGCAACAGACCTTGGAGACACACTTCCGCACCGTGCAGGAGATGCCTCAGTAGGCAAGAGCGGGTGTGAACATTGCGAAGGCATACATGGCATGTTTCTCCTGGCCTGGCCGGAGAGCCAGCGAGATCCGTGGTCAGGTGGGCGTTCGTCCGTCGAGACCTCCACGCCCTTGGTGCGTGGGCGACGTCATCGCATTTGTAGCACGGGTAAGCAACCAACGGGTTTGGGGCGAGGCGGGTTCGCGGTGGCGGGAACTCGGCCGCCTGGCAAGGTGACCAGAGGCAGGCTTGCCACTGACGCAGGCGACAGTCGTCCGCCCACCACCGCTCGTGGGCAGAGAAGGCCGCGATGAGCAGGCTCTTGCAGTGTTCAGGCGATTCGAGAGATCCAGATCCATCCGCTGGGTTCCTTGGGCGCTTGCACTGCCTCCCCCAAAGAAGAACGGGCCCATCCGATACCTGCTAAGACGGGCAAAACCGATGAGTCCTTCTGATGGGCGACTGCACCCAAGAGCAAACTCAATTGAGAGGGAGAATTGGGTAGCATTCTAAGCACGCAGCGGAGTCTGACTCTG